TAAACATATGACTGCGCTGCTCCACTCAGCTATATTTGAGGAGTAGCTTTTCGAATATCTTGTCGGTCCGCCGCAGCAGATTGGGGCAAAGCGTCATGTTACCAACGAGATTAAGCTTTCCACAGGTGCCGATGAACGCAAGCTCCTATTAAAACTAACAAAGACTGCTTTCACACTAGGAAACTTTTGAAGCATGCAAAAGTAATTTCCTTTAGACTTCTAGGTATACTATAAAGGTTTTGGCTTGGAGGTATCAACATGGTAGGTTTAGTTGACAAGTTTCACACTTTGAATGCAAAAAACAAATCCTCCAGTGAAAAAAAAAAAAAAAAAAAAATGTATGCTAGCAGTGAGACATACCTTGAAATTGAACATGGGTGTTCTCTAGCCTAAAAAGATTTTAGCATAAAATTGGCATTTCGCTTTAAACAAAGAGCTGTGGGAACCAAATGGGTCTTTACTATAGTTGGACTTCCCATCCGGAATGAAGCGCAGTTCTTCTTTAGACATCCTTCAACTCAACAGGTCAGCATCCTCCAGTCCAATGCCAGCACCTTTTTTGTCTAGTTATATCAAGAATGTTGCCTTGGAATGATCTGGTTTTTTTTATCTGATAACCTGAAGGCAAAATTTTTACCCTAGTCAAACTAATGGACGCAGGGAGTGCAATGTATGCTCGTGAAGCGCGTGCCCACAGTGCCTTCAACGTTATGAAATTACAGAATAGTCGACCAACTAATCATCCAGGAAGACATGTTATCTTTGCACAATCAGGAAGGAGATTGCGAATCTCAGGGACTGAATGTTCGAAACAAACCATGGTGTGCATGATAGTAAAGTGTCAAGGTACCATTCACTGTACCAGCAACCACCTTGAAGCTCATAAAGAAACAAAAAAACAAAAATACAGGAGATTGAGCATTCTTGTGGAGGTCGCTAATTCCCCAAAAATTGCAACGAGAAATACATTGGCCCACGATTGTATCGTGATACATGGAATACACGAAATATACATTCCAATACTGAAATACAGATAGCGATTGAAAAATTATATCGAGATACATAAATATAAATACAAGAAGTATTTCTGAAATACTATTATGATACATTCATATTGCAATAGTGCCCAATCCTGATTCGGGGTCAGGACATTAAATAAAGCTTTGATCATTATGTTATTCTTATTGTCTTTTTCCTTTCAAACTATTGCTGTCCTCTAACTTTCTTTTTTTTTTAACCCCATAAACGTTTAAGTAATGCTAAATGTGTTATCATATTATTTTAAGTATGAAATTTTGGAAGTCTCAAAGCAGGTGTGTATAATATGGCCCAGCAGTTGCAATCCATCAGTGGCATAACCATAACTGCAGTGATGACATGCTAACCCAGCATTTACCTTAGACTGACAGTGCCGTACAAAGCACTGTATTGATTGAGACCCTCTTCATGATGCAACAAACAACTCTTCTAACATTTTTAGTGTGTTGCAGGCTTACATAAAAGGTGAGAAATGAATTCCCAGACATGAGAGTACTGAGTTCACAGCACACCTTCAGCAACACAATGCATGACGTAACCCTACGACCGAGCTGACTGGAGCAAGCACTGTAGTCCCACAATGCACAAAGAGATGCGCCAGCCTGTCAGAGCCTTTCACCCAAAGAGCAGCAGAATCAAAGGAAGAAATGAAGGGAGCAGAAGAGAACATGAAACCACTCTCTCTTCACTCGGATAGGGCAACTATCTCCCGGTTTTGGCCGAGTTATTGCTCAGTATTTCATGGCACGTTCCTACAACATAAAATGCTGCACTGCAAAAAGAAAAAAAAAAAAAAAAAGAGAAGCGTTGTCACAGAGTTTTGTAAATTTAAAGAGCCCCTTCATATTTCTGCCAAGATCACCGACTACTTCCCCTTCAGAAGTTACTGTAAGGCATACATCCGGATAGCCAACCCAAAACATTCACCAACTTAATGACTGGCTGTTACATGCCGCGGTGGCTCTCTAGAGTAACCTTTCGCGGTGTCGGCATTGATGCAATAAAGCAGTACAAAAGCCCACAGTCCCTGTAAAAAGTAGTGCACATACTGGGGAGTGCTTAGCTCATAGCCACCCATAGGTGCACACCCATGAGTAGGGTGACCACCTTCCTGCCGGTGGAATGTGGAACACCCTGACCGGGGGGGAGGGAGAGGGGAGGGGGGAGAGGGGGAGTAAGAGGAGGGCGGTATTTTCACGACTCAAGAAATAAGTATTTAGGGAAATTCATCAATGTGCACGCCCCGAAATCCTGTGCTGTCCAAAAGCGTATTATACACCCGAAAATTGTACGTGGCAATTAAACTAAGATAAGTTTCACTCACAGTGATATACTTTTGTTTATTTGTAATGGTAAATATTTTATTATAAGTATCTAAGTTGAAAACAAAGAGATAGACTGCACCAGACCCCAATGCATGAAAAGGAAAAAAAAAACAGTAAATATGTTTCGGCTTATTGTTTTCTGTCGATACTTACTCCTATATTAACATGCTCCTACAAAAAAATAAAACCTTATTTTGTTGTTTTTTTTACCGTTGTGAGTTGCAGGTTTTTTGCCTTCTGTAACTGGTCTTCACTAAAAAAAAAGGCTTTCCACAACAGCTCTTTCGCATGATACAGTATGATTTGCAACTAATTACAATAGTTTATTTTTCAACTTTTGGCGAGCAATTTCCGCTTGCAATATTTTGCCATCAAGGGGAGAGGCACAACACGGCGCACGTGCGTCAGTCTTCTGCAAGAACAACGGTTGCTTCCCGCACTGCTTGGCAATAAAATGGCGTACCATCGAGATTCACACGATTACCAGTGACCTCCGCGCTTCCCCGTTGTTCGGCAGCACCATAAGTTGCAGAGTGAATTTTACTACAGTGTTAAATGCGGGACATTTTGAAGATTTTGGAATTTCTTGCGGGACGCGGGACATGAGCCCTCAATGCGGGGACAGTCCCGCGAGTCGCGGGACGGGTGGTCACCCTACCCTTGAGTCACCTAGATCTGTCAAAATAGTGCTTGAACTGTAAAAAGACACTTTCCACGGGGGCAGAGACGGTCGGGGAACCAACGAGGGCACTCCGATGTACCCCTGGGTTGAATCAAGTTGAATACCCGAGTTTAGCAGTTGATGTGTGTGTGTATGTGGCTTCACAGAACTTGCTCATACAATATATGAAGTGTCTAGATAATGACCAGCAAGGATAAGTAGCCAGTGTGGGAAATTTCGGGCTAGGTAGGGTTTGGACAACAACCAGGTTTCAATTTCGAAACGCAGCTCTAAAAGTGGGCAAACGGGTAAGAGCAAGAACGGAGAGATGACAAACACTTACCGGCTGTAGTGCATCTTCCCCTTGATTGGAGTAAGGCAATCCATAAGGCATTTCTCTACTTTTATCTGCAAAACACGAAAGAAAGGAGAAAACGAACTTTAGGCCACGGAACTGTTGAGAAGAATCCCACGTCCAGAAGAAAACAATTCGGCTACGTAACAAAGCGTTTTGGAGACGGCGCCAGAGATCGGGAGTCGTTGAAACGTAGGACAAGCAAAAAAAAAAAGAATAATAATAAGTAGCCAAGCGAACGCACGCGTACGGAGAGCACCGCTTGTATCGCTTGCCCGAAGGGAAACCTACATGCGGGAAAGCCCACCCGACGGAGGACGGACGGCCCGTCAAACACAAGCTGGGGGAAGACTGTAGTTCAACTGTAAACATTCGCTCAACAACGGGGTGAGAACGGAAACAAGATAGCTTGGAGACTTCGCAAAATGCGAAGGCCTCAAGTCCAAACGGTTCGACAACGGTCAGCTCCCAACAGCTTTTTTTGAAAGCAGCAAGAGGTCATCCCGTCGATTGTCAAGTGTAAACAACAAAACCAAACCGCCGCTTTCCGGCCGTCAAACAAAATCGAACAAACTTGCGCGGCAAACGAATAGGAGGCTAACATCAAGCACGACAGTCCCCGATCGAGACCCAATTCACAGGCACCAGGGTAGCAAAAACGTTTCGGGCAATAACTTTCGCTGTCCGCGAGAGCTTTCCCTCCGAGCGGTGTTGATATTCGGAGGCGAACGGCCGCTTTGCGGCGCGCACTTAACGAATTAAGGCCATAACTAACGGTTACTCGCGTTAAACGCGGCCCTCCCGAAGCAGGATCGACGCCGCAGAGCGTCCGTGCACCAGTTTTGGGCGTCGATTAAGCGGTTTTGTATCGCTAATACGTTTGTTAAGCCTCACTGCAGATGCTTTTGTCCGCAGAGAGCGTCTTCGGAGCACGTACCGTCCCCGTAGCTCCCCGACGAGAACAATTGCAGCGCACTCGCCGCTAGACACGGAGAGAAAAGAACGGTCCTCTTACCTGGCTGTTTATTCGCTATCTTATTGAAACAATTTTGAAACACTTCATACAAATGCATTGGTTCATCATCGTTTGTCGCCATGATAACACCAACATTGATACTCTCGACCGAAACAAGCGGCGGTAAAACTGGGTAGAGGTCGCTGGCGTGGAGCAACGTTCAAAATGGCGGCTTAATTTTAGTTTGGTTTTGTATTTTTTCATTACCCACGTTTAATATTGTGTTATATTTTTCAAGAATAAAGTGCTGTCTGAACAAGTGAAAATTTATGTAAAATTAAAAGTGCATATTGCATTCCAAATAAATATTTCTCAGGTAAAGTACATATTAGGGGAACTCTCCTGCTGTAGTATCTTGAATCTTTCAAGCACCTGGTATAAAGTGGCAGATTTATTTTACATTAGTGTAGCAATTAAGATTACTTCTGTAATAGATGTTCTATTTGTATTACAAATGAAAACCATTATTTTCAGAAGCGGTAATATGATTACTGGTAATATTGTTTTCAATGTCTCCAATCTAAGAGGAAACACCTGTATCCCACCAGCAACATTGAGCAAGCAAGTTCAGCAGTTTTCGTTTCTTGACGCTAGATGCCTGCACGTGTCGAGCTAGATTTTTTTTTATATTTCTTTGCGAATATTCGCTCCGGGAGGTTCGTCGCTTGTGTCCATGCCGAACAACCGAAATGCCTTTTTCCGAGGGCTATGAATTTCCATCTGATAGTGAATTAAATGTCGAGGAGGTCAATATATCTACACCAGCTCTCCGTGCAGGAGCTTACCACTTCGGAAAATACTGCGATGAGCAGAGCAAGGTATTTTTTTCCTTACCAATCGTCCCTTGATCAGGGAACCGCTGCCATTGCCAGAATGTTGATAAAGCCGCCTGATGACCAAAATGCTCATTTTTTCTTCTTTTGCACGCAATGAGCTTAGGAGACAGCTCCTGTAGCGCGTAGAAATGTTGCAAGTGGGCTTCTAGATGCTTTTACTGAACTGGCGTTAGCTTGAAACATAAAAAAACGCGTCGAACACGAAGTGGTGACCTTCCTTTACTGTAGAGGCCGATAGTCGGAACGGCGTTGTAAAAATATTTGATTTACCTACCTTTTACCATTTTTCTTGCCACCATCAAGCGTTGACAGTTGACGACTTGCTTCGCAGGAGTTTATGCTCTGCAAGAAAGAGGAAATAGATCCCCGGAAATGCCTAGCGCCGGGCCGCGCAGTCACCAGCTGCGCTCTCGAGTTCTTCCGAAAGGTCAAGAATTCAGCGTGCCGCCAGCCCTTCGACGACTACGCCCGGTGTCTCGACTTTAGCAGCGCCGACATGCACAATCGGCAGTAAGTGCACACTCATCAGTTGCTTTACGAGTGCAGTTGCACCGTTGTGCCGGCTTGCAGCGGTGCGAGCAGGAGTGATACCAGATTGCTCTTCTTTGCACAGCACGCTTAAAGCCAATGGTTTATACAGCTTCCCCCCAAGAAGCCCCAGGCCTCCTACAAGAATTTCCTACGCACAGTATACAGCCCCGAACGACAAGGTGGCAGCCTCTGGCCTTCTTTGTGTCGCCCAATGGTTGTCGGCAGAAGCTGTTACGCCGCCTGTGATGCGCTTCAGGAGTAGTTTACAGTGTGAAGTGGCCTGCCTTCTTGATGTATGAAATTTGTGCTTATTTCCTGCCGCTTTTCACCACAGCGGGCACGAATCGTAAAGTTGACCATGTGGCATGCATGTTTCGAATGCCCAGTTATGTCACATAAAATGCACCATGACGAGCACATATTACGGCAACATCACGATTTGAACAGATGTGTGCGACGGATAAAAGATTATTTTGAGTGTCATCACGGGGCATTCGATATGCCTGTGCCGCATTGCCTATATGGCGAAGGCTCGACGATCAGTGCCGCATGTTGGGGTAATCCAGGGGTCGGCAACCCACGGCTCGCGTCACAACACCAGAAAAGGACTGCCCTTTTCTGCTCTTTCCTCACACAGATTCGAGTACCGCACGGCAGTTTTGATCTCAAATGGGGTTAGACAGGAACAAGGAGCACTGCCAGTCGACATTTTTTGGTATCTCCTTTCATATTTGGGCATTGAACGTCTTCACTCCCTTTTTGCCTTTTCTTCGCCTGCCCCCCCCCCTTCCCACACACACACACACACACACACACTCACTTCACGCCTTGTCGTCCGGCCCTTTCCTTGCTGGCTTCAAGAGGATTCGGCCCTCCGCTGCAAAGGGTTGCCAAAACCTTGGGTAAATAAACAAATCTGTGCAAGTTTCATTCGCTGAAGATTCAGGCCACTTGGCATCATCACCACTCTCGAAACGCAGCCCAAGCTCTGCAAAGGCTTCCGCCGATGACCATTGAGTGATGAACGAGCACAAGAGGCTGCCACTCAGTCGATCTCGTTCCTTTCGTTCAGCACTGTAGAAAAACCTATGGTAATCCACCCCCTGGGGTCCTTCCCAAAAATTTGTTATACCCCCCCACCCCTCAATAGACGAATGTCACCAAGCGAACTGTGCAGGCTCGCGCCTTTCGAAAGTGGTGCCGCGGCGATGCAACTTGTAGTCCTCGCTTTCTGGTTTCCCGGCTGCATAGGGCTGTGGTGCACGTACATTGTCAGACATCATCGTTTGAGGCGCCCTGGTGTCGGCTAGGATTCTCCTGCATGTCTCTACTTTACAGGTTTCTGTTGTTTGTGATGCCTTAGTTTGTCAGCAAGCGCAGAAAAGCAGTTCCAGTCGTCTTATCGCTTTAGAATCGCTTTGTCGTCTGCTTTGTTGTCGTCTGCTTCTTCGTATTCATGGACTCTTGAACCCAATGCGGCCGCGGGAAAAACAATGTCGCCCCTGCTCGAGCACTTCGGCTGCTCGGAGGTCTCTGTGAACTTGAAAACAAGTCAACATCTAGTTCATTGGCAAAGAATTTGAGGGACCTTTGGCTCAATGCAGTTTTGCGGAACAGCATCAAATGTGTTGATGGAAAACTGAGCTTGGTAGTGCTCAAACTTGTGCATAAAGTCTAATTAACAATGAAGTAAGAAGAGCAAAATAGACTTTCTCAGGGAATAGCCATAGTTTTCTAAAAGTTGTTCCATTTTGGTTGATAGCCTGTACGACAGGGTACAGATGAAGTACAGGGAGAAGCCTGCGCACAAAGAAACGATCTACAGAAAGACAATGCCTGACACACCGTAACAACTCTCAGCTGTCAAAAAGAAACAACAATGCCAAATATCTGAAAACAGGGTGGTGACGAGTTTTCGTGTACAGTTTCTATTTTGTTTGCGCAAGTTCCGAATGCTAACCGTCGCCTGAGGGTGGAAGCTTTTTTCTGCAGTCTCATTTGTGTTAATGCACAGTGGGTTAGTATTGCCAGCCAAAACAAGTTGTGGCATAATAGACTACCACAAGGAGGGTGAGGTTAGCCTGCTACCTTTTTGGCAGTAAGTGTTGCACTTAAAAATTGCATTATGTGGTGTTGTCAAGTTTTGTTTAAAAACTATCAAAGACTGCTTTCAAAACAGTTGTTTTATTTCAAGTAACGCATATTGAGAATTGCTGTTCTTTTTTAGGTGATTGTCCTGACCTTTTGAAGCACAGTTGTGCTTGAAACATGTTGTCGCAATAACAGTTATATCCACCAAAATACAATGAGAAAAAAGTGTATTAAAAATGGCCATCGCAAAGAAGTGCGGAGGTCCCAATTGAGATAGATTAATGGATAGACCATAGTCCGCTACAGAACGAGTGCTGGGGAAGATTCCAACATAAAGAACATGTTGGCACGCCCTACTATGTCTCGTGCCCTCTTTACACTCTTTAGCTAACGCGCAATGGGTGAATATAATTTATGAAGCAAATTGTAAAACAAACAGATAAAAAGCTCTTTTTCCTGCTGTTATGTCCGGTTCTGTTTACCTTCCTTAGCCACTCTTTCAGTGTTGGGAAGCACTTTACATTGTACTTAAAGTCAGGCACATAGCCAGGATTTTGATTCGGGGGGGGGGGGGAGCCGCCCATGACGAAAGGCTGTATGAGCGGAGGCCCCTGAAAAATGAAAGGGGGGGGGGGGGGTGCCGGGCCACATGCCCCCCCCCCCCCCCCCCCCTGGCTACGTGTCTGCTGCCTTGTTTTTCTGAAGGGCCCCCCCCCTTAATTCGCAACAACTACTCTATTCTCAATGCCCCCCCCCCCCCCCCTGAAAATGTAATAAATCAATCCCTACTACACGACCGGATAGTTAGGTAGCCTTGTGCGAATTTCTCAAGCTTTCGATTATCGCCTTAAATAAAATCATATTCTATATATCTCTGTCAAACAATGGCAGCACTCGGAATCTATATATCTCTGTCAAACATTGGCAGCACTCGGAATTTTTACAATATTTCTCATGGGTGTTGTCTGTTCTATCTGGATAGCTTGCTTCGTTGAGTGCGCTTGTCACTGCGCAGTGGTATACTGCAATGAGAGGACAACCGCATAGTATGCGTTGCAGTTTTGCATACCTATCTTGCTCCGCTGCAGCATACACGCGTGCTGAGGGAAAGCACTCCTCCAGAGGGGGATGTAACACATGGTTTCTGAATAGTATATATGGTAGACTGTGATATTTTGTCAATATCTTTTTCACAGTCCAAATTTATCAAGGAGACTCGAGTATCGCAAAAAAACTTTAGCAACTGTTCTATATGTTTATTTTTTATGTCAGCTCGTTTCATTACTGCCCTAATATACAATCCATCCGTTTGATGGCACTGTGAATACAGTAAATTAAATCTAAGTTAGCTGTAGCAGTAAGTGCAAGCCTGGAAACATCCTAAACCAATACAAGATTTGTTTTTCTTTTTTTTTTTTTTTTTTAGGAAGGCACACTTACTTTACATGCTGATTTTTGTTTTCTGTCTATATTAAGAACAGTTTTATTACAACCTTTACAACTTAAAAAAATCAGTTTGGATGGTTGAAATTATTATATTGTAACATTCTTTCAGTGGAATACACTAATAACCATGCACATAAGTTTGCACCGCCCTTCATTAATCAGCATCTTGTTACCGTGCCTTATGCTTCTACGCACAATTTAACTGCTAGCTAGAAAATCAAATCTGCCATGCCTTTGATGCCATCAAAAGGTGCACAAAATCAGGAAGGCAATGTTGACAGAAACACATAAATCTTAACATGATATTTGCACTGGGGCTCTTATGTGGACACTTGGCGAAAGCGTCTGCGAGGAATCCAGCTGCTGTGATTAACCGCCACCGCGTTTAGCCTTGGCGCCGGTCAATCACGGCAGTCAAATTCATTGCCCACTTTTTTGCCAGGTGCCAACATTAGAGCCCCTGGTATGAATGGAAAGAAATGTGTGCTTATGCTCCAAAGGTACTTTTTGCTGCTTCAAAATTGACTTGGCTGCTTGAAAGGCTGCTTTCAAATTACTTGGACAAATTGCATCACAAAGTTGCTTGCCACATGCCCTGCTGCAGTTGCTGCACACATTTTTCAAAATAATTGCGGTTTATGTTTACTTCTGCCCAGATTAAGTGCAATACCTGAATTCACGGAACAAAAAGTTATAGAAGTCCGCTTCTGACTCAGATTTCGTGAGAAGTGCTTCAGCCTCTCTTTAAGATTTACAAATTGGTGCCCATCAGTACTTTTTTTGAGTAAAATGCAGGAAAGTGCTGATGTTGTGTTTGCATCAACAGTGTGTCGCAGTGTCACTGGCACTTATTGCTGTTTCAAATTTTAGCTGCAGAAAGACTCAGGCTGCCTTGGACAACTGCATGCTGGACCAGCTGGGCATTGAACGGCCACACCTGGGCTACTTTGCCATGCCACGGATCCACCATACAGAGAGGCCCAGGCCTGAACCAAAGTTCAAGAAAGACTACGAGAAGACACCTGCTCTGCCAGATGACTTCCCCAGGCCGGACGCCAAGCACGGTACCCGTGCCTTCTGGTACAGCTAGGGTGTGCAACTGCGTCTGAGGGAGTGTCTGCTGCCACCTTCCAGTGGACCCTGTCTGCAGTAGAGTATGAAAGAGTCATTAAAGTTGCATAGGGACATCTGCTGTGTCCATTTGCTCTGACTGAATATTCGTAAAGTAGGTCCTGAGCAGGATGAGGGCTGTATGAGCCTGAACAGTCTGCCATGCTTTTTTGGCATGCCTGTTTAGGTCCCAGACTCTGAACTCCTTGACAAATTGAGAGCTTGTGGAACTTGGGGGTCAGCGAGCACCAGACTGTGTGTTGCAGCTCCTTGCCCAGGTGGGTACAGGTCAAGCATTCTCTGTGCAAGTAAAGGATGTTTGTTGATCAACGTGTTGTCTTTGCAGGTTTTGCAAGCATATAGTTTAGGTCTGTCAAATCATGGATCTAACTGTTGCAGATATTTGGTAATGAAAGCCACATAAACCTGCACTATTAGACCTATTGCTAAATTACCCAAGCATCAAGGAGAATGCAGAGATTGGTGTTCCACGCACCGCACGCGCACGGCTTCCCGGTATAAAAGATTCAAAGTAAATAACGAAAATAAAGCGTTGACGAACGTGCGTGCGAGATGCAATTTGTTTTAGGCACTTGCTTTAGAAAAGTTACGACTGCTGAGGACAGCACGTGTGGTACATGGAACATTAGTCCTTGCATTCTCAGGGTGTCCAGCGACTGAGAGTTGTCAGGGAAATTTTAATTACGGGGAAATATCGTGGATTTCTTAGGGATATCGTCAAAAAGCGAGCCCAGTCAGGGAAAATAAGCCGGAAACGCCTTCGAGTGCCTTGAGCGAGGACTTGGGGACACAAAAATTGGCAATAAATTCTGCTTGCAGCGGAGTGCGGGCTCTGCTCACCCGATGTGGAGTGTGCTACCTGATGTAAAGTAGAGCACTATATAGCTCCTTCGGAGCAGAGTACCGCAGCGTGGAGATGATGGTGATGATGATGATGATGATGATGATGATGATGCGGCTATTTCCCTTCGAATCGGGAGGACTCAAACAAGGTTTGTGCCCAAGCCTGGGAGCGTAGGTGTCTTAATGCTCCCTGAGGTGGATCTTCTGCCACCAGTCCTCCAGTCTCCTTTTTGTGTCTGCAACACGCCTTTTTGTGTCGTTGGAGGCTACCTTCAGCCCCGTAGCTGGGCAGACTTCTGTGGATTGTCCGATTTCACTGTCAGTGAAGCCCAACGCTTCAGCGAGCGCTAAGGGTCTCTGACGCCTTGGGCCATTGTCCTGTGACCGGGACGGCTTGAGTCTCGGGCAGTCTAGCACAATATGCTCCACCGTTTCCTCATTTACAACACAGACCCTACACATTGTTGACGTGACAATGGTGTCGAAACGACGCCTATAACACAGCGTCCGCAGTGCCCCGGCACGCGCCTCGAACAAGAAGCGGCTACCCAGGCTGTTGTCAAACAGCCGGACTTCCGAGGCGATGGTTATTTTGTTGGCGAGGTACACTCTCCAGCGTCGATTTCGTTGGGCTTCTTGGAGCCATTGTTGGGTCTCGCAGTCTCGGACTCTCTTCCTAACTTCCGACGTCCACTCCGTCTCTGTCGACGCATCAACAGTATCCGAGAAGAAGCCGTACTTGTGTTGAAGCTGATAGAGGCGCTTCTGCCAGCGGGTCTGCAGCCCAGTCAAGTTAGTGTATATAAACAGTCTCTTCGCCCAACGGCATCTATTAGCCCCGAGAGCGAACACAAGCGTCGCTCCGGTCGCCGCGCCCTGATTGGGTGAGGCGTACCGTGACGTCAGAGCGATGACTCCACTCCACGATCTCGCATCGGCTCGCTTCCCAACACCGGTTTCCTGGTTTGGCGTTGTGTGCCGCAAGCTCTTCGAGGAGCTGGACTTCGTTTACCCGGTGTACAAGACGTTGAGTTAGGCCGATATTGACGTGCTTCCGTAGGTCTTATAAGCCTGCTCGTCCCTTTTACCTTTAAAATTGGGTTACAAATCCCGAAAGCTATCGGCGGAGGCAATTCCGCCGATGAACCTCCCGCCCGTCCACGCGACACAAGGCAATTTCACGAAGGATCGGTGGAGCGGTGGCGCAAGTATTTCAGACGCAGGAATTCTGTCCCTTGCATGTTCATGATAGGACGATATTACATCCTGCTTTCAAGGCATTTGTAGTGGTATTTATATCATGGGCCTTTGGGTGGTCGGCAAATTAGCTCAAGACTCCGACTTTGCGCTGCCGCTCTGCTCTGCATACGCTGGTTTGCAGATGTTTTAAAGGCCCTGTGTCCGATTATCTTTGAAGTTGAAGTGCTCATGGAACAGGGTTGTTTTACATAAATGTACCTCTGTCCAGTGGTAGTTGCAGCACTAGTAGCACAAAATGTGGAACCCGTGAAGGGCGACAGTCTGCGTGAGAAAAGGTTCTGGTGTTTTAGCTTCAGGACAATTCGATTTAAGTAAAATCTTAATTTTAGGGCTTAAGGACTAATAACGAGCTAGACACCTTCGCTTACGTTCAGCGGCGTAGACTTTCCATTTTCCCGGGAGCGGCAGGCTGAGTTCTCTGGCGGGGAGGGGGGGGGGGGGGGGTGCTGCGCATCATTTTTCTGCCAGAACTGGAGATTGGAGCTAACAAATACACGCTGGAATTCCATTTCCCATGTATTTTGTCAATAAAGGCAACGTGCGCGTTATTTTGTTTGCATGCCGCTGCTAGAAGCTTGTTACATGCGTCTCGGTAAGGATCATGGCCCGAAACCGGGGGGGGGGGGGGGGGGGGGCTCTGCCTTTCCCCCCCTTCCCGGATTTTACTAGGGGGGGCACGGGCCCCGTTGCCCCCCCATAGTCTACGCTTATGCTTACGTTTGTTATACATTACTTGAGGGTTGATATAAACAAGTCCACAGATATCACCCGTGTAGTGCATTGAAATACTATCCGAATCCAGCAAAGGTCAAATGCGAGCAATGTATATAATAAATGTTCCTTGTTTTTTTTTACTTTGCCCCTGCACTTGGGCTGTCTTACTTGTGTTTCTCTCCCCATGGCCCAGACTGTATAGAGCTTGTTGCCCGAGCAGCATGCAGCTTTTCTGCTTCGGCGATCTTGTTTAAAAACGGAGGTACAAAACAAAAAATAGTATACATAACCTGCCAATTCATTCAGACCATCAGCAGCATTTATTGTGCGAGATGTAAATCTATAGTGATGCTCCTGCAATTGTTTGCCATATTTCTTTATTTTCATATACCAGCTGCAATTCATGCCTTGCCTGCCCTGTCAACCACGCTTAAAATGTTGGTTGAAGTTTCGCCTGTAGTCCATTGACAGGCCATACCTCAATAAAGGCACATAAAAAAAATTTACACTTCCTACGAAAAACACGCCAAAAAAAATTAAATAGAAACGAGCGGGCCGACAGCTGGCCTCGTCACAGCCTCCACAGGGCTAGCGGGGCGAGCCGGGGAAAAATTCTCTCCTCGCCGTGACGTCACCCCGGTTTGCCGAAAGGGGGCGCCACGCGAACTTCTCGGGGCTAGGTGGCGTAAGCTACCGCCCGATCCAAAGGGCTCAGCCGTATTCATTCATCCATCCATCCGGGGCTAATAGACTTTTGTCCGGAAGTTCTCTTTTTAGCCTCGACCGCAAGGAGCAAAGCGAACAATAATCTCGAACCCAGACGCTCACGGGGAAGGGGGGCGGGGGGGCTGCGTCGGCCTGCGCCGTGGCGCCGCCGCTTCCCGTTTAGGGCTTCGCCGCTGGTGTGCCGACTGCCGTTTCGCCGGCATCGGTCCTGTTTACCGCGGTATGTGAGTATAGTGCCCGTAATGTGAGAGCCGTGTGTCCATACGCCACTTTGCCGCTGTTGGTTTCCATCTAGCCGAGCCAGAAAACATCTCGCGACGAGTTGACCGCGCCGCGAGTGACGAAGAAGAAGCAAACATGGCGACGGTTTGTGCGATTGCTTTGGGGGCTCCGGTGTTGAGTGTCTTCAACGTCCCCGTGAGAAGGTTCCCGTGCCCTTCGAAGTTATTGCAAGCACCACGAAAGATGTGGAATCGTCGTCTCAACTACAAATAAGCAGGCCTTCACGAGCAACAACGTTGCCGAGCAGGCGCTCGGCATAGTTGTGTCGGGCTCACGCAGCCAGCGGCACAGCTGTGTTGGTTGTGTCGTCAGATGTTCAACAACGCCGAGGTATTTTCATTTATCATTTGGAATGGCTTCAAGAGTGGGAAATTAATCTATTTCGCGGATTGTTAACGCCGAGGCGAGTGCCCTCCGTTGCTTTGATTCTTTGATCTTGCGCCGTCGGGTTCATGAAGTCCGGAGTAAACGTACGTATACGTGCGTCTGCTGGTTCGGTGTTTTGGACTTCCTCAAAACTCTTTCTCACGCGCATTTTCCTTGTGAAGCTTAGTAGCTCATTACACCTCATCGTCGACTGCGCTCATTTGACTACGACGGACGAGCCTGCGTGATGTGAATTTCACTGCCTAAGATCCTTGGTGTGCTGTAAGAGGGCTAATAAAATATCACCGCGAACTTCTGAACAAACGAGTCGAAGTTTCGTCTGCTATCATAACTGATCGCCTGTCACAATATTAATCAGTAGCGTTCCTAGACTCCGTCCCCACAGGCACCGTTCTTCGTTGCCCGGGTCGCGGAGGCTTCTGGTGAAGACATCGTTCACGATGTGCCGGTGCATTCGGACAGCCTGCCGCATCCAGCTCCCCAAAGCAACGCCGCCAACGCAGCCCCCCCCTCCTGCCTGCCAGTTCTCTCCGCGTGGTGGCGCGAGCGTATGGATAAACATGGCGGCGCCCTGGAATTGGCGCGGACACTGGTCTATATAAGTCGAAGGCGTCCGTCATACGCAATCTTGCTTGAAGCCTCCCGAGCCTCAAAGGAGGACCAGCCCAGATCACCCTGCACTGCCTCGTTGGCGACCGCTCCATGGTAGCCCAGTGCCTGGCGTCCCACGTCTCTCTGCCTACGCTCCATATTGGCGCGGACATCCCCTGGGACACACACCACTGCATTTGCAAATGTTAGTCCGGGTACCATTACTGCTTTCCACAATTCCCGCGAAACGATG